TGTACTGCACGGGACACTGCTGATCAATAGAGAGAAACTCTTCTGTCTCGATCAGCTCGTCCTCGAGCTGACAAGGAAGTGACAGACAGCACAGCTACTGCAGCTGTGCTCTCTGTCACTGTTTACTGCCGATCGCCGGGAAACAGCTGCTAAGGACCGGCTGTGACCCGGCGACTGACATCCACGGCGGTGATCGGCGGGACAGATAGGGCGCCTCGTGCGCGCCCCCTATTTGTTTACAAAACACATGGTGACACTGTACTACTTGTGGGGGGTGATGAAGATTTTTTGTTTTTTTTTACACTGATTGCTTTTACACCCATATACACCAATCATTTCTCTTTCTCTCTGTCTGCATTCTTGCACTCATTGAGAAGTACTGAGTGAGCTGTGATTGGTCACAGCTTGTCACATGGTACAATGCTGTTGTGAATAGCCTTGTACCATGTGACCTCTGTGATCATTCACAGATTTCACACGTAGTAAGCAATGATGTCACAAGTGACATCTTGCTTACTACTTTGCATGTGATCACTGATTGGCCAATCAGTGATCACATGATCGGGACCTCGTACAGAGGTCCCGTCCGACGATTGGTGTTTCACACTGTCCGGAGGACACAGCGGGCACCGGATCGCGGTGCTGCACGCTCCCAGGGAGCGCGCACAAGCAGGGTGCGGGGAGGCCGTTTATAAACGGCCACCCGACCCTGCACTGCCACCGTTTATATGCAACGGCCGGTCGGGAAGTGGTTAAGTTGTGGTCTCTGTTGTCATTCTGTTTCTGATCTAAGAACATATCTACCTAGCATCTGCACTGACCTTGTTGCCATCTGCCCAGACCTTTGCCTGTGTTACAATTCTACTAGAAGTTATCATGGTTTGCACAATGATCGTTAATGAACTGTGCTTTTGTGTGCTAACTTTGCAACTTTAGATATCCTTCTGTCTGAATGTTACATAGTTACATAGTTAGTCTGGATGAAAAAAGACAAAAGTCCATCCAGTTCAACCATTAAAAAAAAAAGTAATCCTTCACTAGTTGACCCAGAGGAAGGCAAAAAAACCCAGCAAAGCATGCTCCAATTTGCTCCTGCAGGTGAGAAAATTCCTTCCTGATCCCCCAAGTGGCAATAGGATATTCCATGGATCAACTTTACATGTTAGTATCCAATTATATTCTGTGTATCCAAGAAAGAATCCAGGCCTTTTTTTAAAGCAATCCACTGAGCTGGCCACTATTTCACAGCTCTTACTGTGAAGAAACCTTTCCATGTTTGGAGATTAAATTTATTTTCCTCCAGATGTAAAGAGTGCCCCCTTGTCCTCTGCGATGATCTCAGCTCTACACCGAGTTCACTATATGAACCACTGATGTATTTATATATGTTGATCCTATACCCCCTAATCTCCTCTTCTCAAGAGAGAATAAATTCAGTTCCTCTAATCTTTCCTCATAGCTGATCTCCTCCATGCCTCGTATCAGTTTGGTTGCCCTTCTCTGTACTTTCTCCAGTTCTCCAATGTTTCTTTTTGTGAATTGGTGCCCAAAACTGAACTGCATATTCCAGATGAGGTGTTACTAATGATTTGTACCGGGTAATATGATATCTCTCTCTCTGGAGTCTATACCTCTTTTAATACAAGAGAGGATTTTGCTCACTTTAGAAACCGCAGCTTGGCATTGCATGCCATTATTAAGCTTGTGATCTACCAGAACCCCCAGATCCTTCTCCACCATTTATTCCTCCAGTTGTACTCCCTGCGAGGTCTGTTAGGCCTGCATACAGTAAAAGCCTCTTTGTGAAAAGTTCTGCCTGAAAAATGGATGCATTTTTTAGTTTACTTTCAAGGGAGCCAATGTTTACCATAGAGCCTATGCTCAAACATACCTAGTTTTTACATTGTAGCCACAAAAGTGAAAAATATTGCACTCAAGCAATAGGACAGTCAGAATGTGTTTAGAATAAAGCTGAACTCCAACCATAGCTCCACTCTTGCACAGTTGTATAGCCTCCTCTCTTGTACTGCAATTGTTTAGTCTGATTACACATTGGAGGAGATTTATTAATACTGGAGCACACAGAATCTGGTGCAGTTCTGCATAGTAACCAATCAGCTTCCATGATTTATTGTCAAAGCATCATTGGACAAGCTGAAGTTAGAAGCTGATTGGGTATTATACAGAGCTGCACCAGATCCTATGTTTTCCAGTTTTGAGAACAGTGTATTTTATAAGTTGTAGCAAGTCAGATAGAGCCCACCTTATTTCTTGGCTGGGTATCACATACCTGGTGATGGTGGCCAATGGAGAGAGGGCTTCTGTCACGAACCGCCTGGTGGCGTCTCTAGCGGCCCACAGCACGGGGTTCCTCAGGGCGTGGGGTCTAAGTCCCAATCTGCTTATTCACCAGGGCCCCTGATGGTGGGGATGGACTTGGAGCAGACTGAGACCAGGTCACAACCCCTGAGTACATCCAACAATGGTAGAGAGCACCGTCAGAGGTGTGCGGGGAAAGGAGTCTGACCTGAAGAGGCTGGCAGACCTAGTAACAGGGAACGATCCGTGTGGGATGGATGAATCGTCTGGGTCACGTAAGGCGTAGTCAGGCAAGCCAGGTCAGCAACATGCGGGCAGCGAAGTACCGGAGGAGCAGGCAGAGAATGGTCAGGGTCACAAGCCGGGTTCAGTAACTAGTGGGCAGCGCGGTACAGAGGATCAGGCAGAAGGATGGTAAGGCAAGCCAGGGATTAAGCAGGAGACAATCAGCAGGGTCAGGTACAATGCAGAGGTCGGCAACAGTAGATTCACAGGATCAGATATCAGGAACAGAGCAATAGGACCAAACGGCAATTTGACATACCTGTCCTGTTTAAATAGCCCGCCCTGCGCTGTCATTGGTGCCAGGCACGTGTCCGCAATAGCGAGTGCGCATGCGCGGCCGTCGAGATCGCCCAGGTCCCGCTGCTTGCTGGCTAGGGTGCATCGGTGTTCTGCGCATGCGCCGCCTGGCGTAATGCGGCAGAAACACCGATTACTGACAGCTTCCCTTGCAGCTAAGTTCCGGACTCCCCTGAGAGTGGGACAGCGGGAGTCAGGCCCAAAGTTGCACAGGTCACCTGTAGGAGTGCTGGTTGGTGGTCCACTCAGAAGCACAGCTGGTGTACGGAGATAGGTCTGCAGACAGGAGGTGCCTGTGTGTGGTATGCAAGCCCTTCCGGGATTTAGGTGTTTACTGGGTAGTCTGTTCAAGTCAAGGTCAGGTACCAGGTGGGAATCGGAGCAGATGTAGTCAGATGGATCATACACAGAGAAGCTTGAGAGAGAGTATCCATAAGCCCAGCTGAGGTCAGATTGGGTAAGGCAGAATAGACAGCTCCAGGAGCAAGCCGAGTCGGTAACAGGAGATCACGGGTCAAGTCACAGGAAACAGGAACAGGGCACGGGGAGCTAGAGATCATCCAGCAACTAGAGGAAGTGATGAGCCTCCTTATAAAGGCCGTCTGGCACCAGACTGAGGCTGATGTGTACATCTGCGGCCATGTAGAGTATTGGCAGAAATGCCAGATCTTCCAAAACTCCTGCCGTGGACAGGACCCTGAAACTGGGGAAAGTCTAGCATCATCTAGTTCTATCCTCCAGGCCTACTGCCCTGGTCCAACCCTTTTATTAATTTCATATCAGTTCTTTCAGTCATGCTGCCTCAGCATTACATTGTTACCCAGGGTGGTCCACACACAAATGCATCCTGCCTACTTCCTCAAACTGATATTCATCCATCAAGGCATTCTAATATTTACATAGGTTGCATCCTTGGATGTGGAGGTTTTACTTACATAGCAGGGCTGCTTGTCAGGCAACCTTTATCACAAACTTACAGCGGTGGGCAAAACCATCCTTAGAACTGATAACTTTCATCCAACTCCACTTATAATATATATTGCCAATATTTGCATCTTAAACGCAATTGTCAGGATGAGACAAAATTTCAAGAGATAGTTTGTGACCTCAAACTCTGCCTTTTTTATAGAGGCTATTCAAAATCATTTTTGAAAAAAAGCCTACCATCGAGCCCTTGAGCAGTCGAGCAGTCTAGATTGCATCTCCTGTATAGGTCAAGGGAAAGAAAAGATGACCCATTCACACATATAATTATGATATAGAAGCCACCATCTCTTCATAAGGCACTTGATCAATAAGTATTGTTATCTTTTAACCACAGATCCCAACCCTGAAATTACATTTAGCAGGGCTCCATTCCTAAGGGACAAATTAGTAAATCGTTTTTTTTTTTCAGATCTGAGGACCTCTGTTGGTATTTTTGTACATTTAATGGTGGTAATTGGGGTTACTGTAAATATATACCGTATTTTTCGCTCCATAAGACGCACCTGACCATAAGACGCCCCTAGGTTTTAGAGGAGGAAAACAAGAAAAAAAATATTCTGAACCAAATGGAGTACTAAAATATTTAATGAAACATACAGAATAATGTTTCAACCATGTAACGTGAACAGCAGTCAACAATGACATTTAGAACCATCATCACTGTTATTAACAAATGAGGACAGGTTTGAAGGAATTGCTAGTAATGTGTCCTTCATTGTTATGAGAGCACTGTAGCTGAGAACATTACCACCCATGTACACAGCACAGCAGCGCGACCACCAGCACTCGCTCCTCCCACGGTATAACATTCTCATTCACTGAAAGGTTGGCCTGGCACCAGGGCTGTCTTTAATATTGATTGGGCCCTGGGCAAACATTTTCTTGGGACCCTCCCAGGAGATGACCAGAGACTGCGGACATACTATAGGAGATGACCAGAGACTGTGGGCGTAGTACAGGAGATGACCAGAGACTGCGGACATACTATAGGAGATGACCAGAGACTGTGGGCGTAGTACAGGAGATGACCAGAGACTGCGGGCACAGTACAGGAGATGACCAGAGACTGCGGGCGTAGTACAGGAGAAGACCAGAGACTGCGGGCGTAGTACAGGAGATGACCAGAGACTGCGGACACAGTACAGGAGATGACCAGAGACTGCGGGCACAGTACAGGAGATGACCAGAGACTGCGGGCGTAGTACAGGAGATGACCAGACTGCGGACATAGTACAGGAGAAGACCAGAGACTGCGGGCGTAGTACAGGAGATGACCAGAGACTGCGGACATAGTACAGGAGGTGACCAGAGACTGCGAGCGTAGTACAGGAGATGACCAGAGACTGCGAGCGTAGTACAGGAGATGGCCAGAGACTGCGAGCATAGTACAGGAGATGACCAGAGACTGCGAGCGTAGTACAGGAGATGACCAGAGACTGCGGGCGTAGTACAGGAGATGACCAGAGACTGCGAGCGTAGTACAGGAGATGACCAGAGACTGCGGGCGTAGTACAGGAGGTGACCAGAGACTGCGGGCGTAGTACAGGAGATGACCAGAGACTGCGGCCGTAGTACAGGAGATGACCAGAGACTGCAGACACAGTACAGGGGATGACCAGAGACTGCGGACAGAGTACAAGGGATGACCAGAGACTGCGGACACAGTCCAGGGGATGACCAGAGGCTGCGGACATGCTACATCATATAAAGTCCCAACAGGGCCCCTCCACCCAGAATATCAAATGATCTGACACCATACATCAAGGGAAAGGACTACAACTCCCAGCATGTCATTTTTAACTTACAGAAGGCAGGGGGCGCACTGAGCTCCGAGGACAGGCCACACCAGCAGAAAGGACCGGACTGCAGAGCAGGGAGCGCACTATGGACACATGCCAGGAAAGGGGAGGAGCTGTAAGGACAGGCCACACCTGTGGACCGGACTGCAGAGCACAGAGAGCAGTACAGACATGCCAGGAGCAGGGAGGAGCTCCGAGGACAGGCCACACCTGCAGGGCGGACCGGCAGAGCTGGGTTTGGCGGGGGGGGGACTGCCTGTTATGAAGAGCTGCGGGGACAGCCCGCTGAGACGGGATAAGGTAGGGAGAACATCAGTGACAGGCTGCAGTGGGAGGGGGACAGCCGCTGGCCCTAACACGGCGGCGGTGACAGGTGGAGGACTGTCAGTATCAGGAGAGAGAAGGGATAAGGCAGGGAGAGCCTTGGTGACAGGCTGCAGTGGGAGGGGACAGGCTGCAATGGGACGGGACAGTCGCTGGTCCTAACACGGCAGCGGTGACAGGTGGAGGACTGTCAGTATTCGCTCCATAAGACGCACAGACATTTCCCCCCATATTTTCTGGGGAAAAGAGTGCGTCTTATGGAGCGAAAAATACGGTACTTACTGAGAAATGTCCAGTTTTACCAAACGGGAGAAAATATTCACCGAAACATTTGGTCAATTGCAGTACTACAGGTGAGATCTATATTATATTTTACCCATGCAGTGCTTACTACATGGGCAAAATGAAAGGTGAATCCTGGAAACACATCTATGATCACACTCATGCCACTCGAATCAGAAACATATACTCACCTTAGGGCAAACATGTGGCTGAAACATTAATTCTCCCTGATATATGGGGGTGACTGGAATAAAATCATTATGTAAAAAGAAATTAGATGGATTTTTAATTTGAAAGCCATTACTTCCACTGGTCTAAATGAGAGTGTAAGTTATAAACCCTCTTTGGAGAATTTTACTTCTGGGAAACCTGAGATTTTGTGGCTATTATATAATGTGTTATCTTGGGCTGTCAACATAGATTTTATCTTCTATAACTGGAGATATATCCCTTTCTTATTGGTTATTTTTATTATTGGTTATATAGTCATTTGTTATATTTTGAGTTTAAATGCCCTGATTTGCTGTAATTATAGGTTGTATGCTGCTATTTCGTTATCAGGATCAGATTGACACCCAGCACATGTGGGCCCAATAGTTAAGTTGTTTTTGCCCTCAAAAGATCTTCTTTTGTTCCATCTGGGTGTATTTAAAATTGCGAATTTATCTCTTTATTCCCTATTGTTAGTGCTTTCTGGCGTTTGCCCCTTTTGTTTAATGGCGTATGAGGCCTTGAGCATAATGGAGCCCCTTCCTGGTTCCTCTCATGTCATCTCCCAGTGCACTCAATAATGTGATTTCTGTCATCACAACGGAAGTGACAGTGAAACCCAGAAGTGGTGAGAGTCCAAGTTGGCTCCTGGCATCTCTAATTTGAATAATGTTAACTATGTTGAGCACCGGAGATATTATAATCACTGTGTTGCATTGCTTATCTGGTTGAAGTGATTATGTGAAGCCAGTTTTTATTATTTGAACTATATACCAGTATATATATACCCCTCTGTTTGCTCAATTCTCCATACACTTTGACTAGATGAGGCGATTGGTGTGATCTGTGGGCCAATAGACTGGCAATTAAATTGAGGGCTATTGACATGTATGATGGCTTGTACTATGTTTAGATTTTTAGCCCTGGTTCACATATATGCCAATTGGATGCGTTTTGAATCACATCCGTTTTCCATGACATGTGAACCAAACGGGCTTTCTACGGAGCAAGTACACATATGTGCAGGCCAGCCACGGTACATTTTTAAAAAGAGTCCAGTACGATTTTCAGTCCAGTTCAGGTGCGATTTCAAGCGTCATACACTTTTACAAATGTACACCTAAATCGCACCTGAACCCCTGTATGAAACCGCACCAGACTCCTTTGAAAAATCACACTGAAAGCGACCCCCGCACATTTGTGAACCCAGTCTTATATCAGTCTTATATCTTATATATTTTGTCGCATACTTGTTTCACTTTAAAACTTTTTGATCACATGTATCATTAGCATCTATATTTGCTGTAGGGATTTACTCCATTTTATGTCATTATATATATATATTGCCAAAAGTATTGGGACACCTGCCTTTACACGCACATGAACTTTAATGGCATCCGTCTTAGTCCGTAGGGTTCAATACTTACAGTTGTGGCCAAAATTATTCAACCCCCACTGAAATTGAGTGTTTTGGCCAGTTTGACATTGCTTTTGATCATTCAGTCATCTTGCTTACATTTACATTAAAGAGGCACTTGTAGGTCAGACAAATATAACATAACAGTTATAATGAAATAACCACAAATGTCTTTTCTGTGCTCACAGCATTATCAGTTTTATTCAACCCCCAAGTGACATTCAATCTTAGTACTTAGTACAGCATCCTTTTACAGTTATAACAGCTTTTAAACGTGAAGCATAGCTTGACACAAGTGTCTTGCAGCGATCTACGGGTATCTTCGCCCATTCTTCATGGGCAAAGGCCTCCAGTTCAGTCACATTCTTAGGCTTGCGCACTGCAACTGCTTTCTTTAAGTCCCACCAGAGGTTCTCAATCGGATTTAAGTCTGGTGACTGCGATGGCCACTCCAAAATGTTCCAGCCTTTCCTCTGCAACCATGCTCTAGTGGACTTGGAGGTATGCTTGGGATCATTGTCCTGTTGAAAGGTCCAACGTCTCCCAAGCCTCAGGTGTGTGACGGACTGCATCACGTTTCCATCCAATATCTCCTGGTACTGAAGAGAATTCATGGTACCTTGCACACGCTGAAGCTTCCCTGTACCTGCAGAAGCAAAACAGCCCCAAAGCATGATTGACCCTCCACCATGCTTCACAGTAGGCAAGGTGTTCTTTTCATCATAGGCCTTGTTCTTCCTCCTCCAAACATAGCGTTGATCCATGGGCCCAAACAGTTCTAATTTTGTTTCATCAGTCCACAGAACACTATCCCACAACTTTTGTGGTTTGTCCACATGGCTTTTGGCATACTGCAGTCGACTCTTCTTATTCTTTGGAGACAGCAAGGGGGTACGCCTGGGAGTTCTGGCACGGAGGCCTTCATTACGCAGTGTGCGTCTTATTGTCTGGGCTGAAACTTCTGTACCCACATCTGACAAATCTTTTCTCAGTTCCTCAGCAGTCACACGGGGACTTCTCTCCACTCTACGCTTCAGGTAGCGCACAGCAGTCGAAGTCAGCATCTTCTTTCTGCCACGACCAGGTAGCGTTTCAACAGTGCCCTTTGCCTTGAATTTGCGAATGATGCTTCCTAAGGTGTCTCTTGGTATGTTTAACATCTTTGCAATCTTCTTATAGCCATTGCCCTTCCTGTGAAGAGAAATCACCTCTTCTCTTGTCTTCCTGGACCATTCTCTTGCCTTCACCATGTTTGTAACCACACCAGTAAATGTCTAGAAGGAGCTGAGTATCACAGTCATTTTAAAGCTGCCTAATTGGTGCTTATTATGCTTGATTGCTGCTCGGTGACATCCACAGGTGTTTTCAATACCTGATGGAAAGCACCTGTATGAACCTCTGTTCTTCAGAGTGGTAGTCTTTAAGGGGTTGAATAATTGTGGCAATGAAGAAACCACATAAGAACCATTTACTACTGTATTACATAAACAATTGATGTCATTTTAGTTGCATTTGGGTAGTTACAACGTCCTTGTAGGATTTGATTCTGAATACAATTCCAAATGTACACTATAGTCCCTAAACCCCTTTACAGCATTGGGGGTTGAATAATTTTTGGCCACAACTGTAGTTGGTCCACCCTTTGCAGCTATAACAGCTTCAACTCTTATGGGAAGGCTGTCCACAAGGTTTAGGAATGTGTCAAAGGGAATGTTTGACCATTCTTCCAGAAGCACATTTGTGAGGTGAGGCACTGATGTCGGACGAGAAGGCCTGGCTCACAGTCTCTGCTATATATATAGTTGGAATACCCTTAGTTCTGTGCATCCTATGACTGATTTTACATACTATGATAGTGCTGACATGATTTCCTAGGAAGTTCTAAACCAGGTGAGAGAGGTATGAATTTAGGATTGGCTTGTATTGTCTTCAAAGGACACAATGATCACAGAGCTCACCAGATGCGGGCCGCAGCAGGCAAGCGGAGGGGCGTAGTTGTGGGAGGATCTCAAAGGACGCCCTCCCAGAACTGGACAACCATGCTGTGGCTGTCTTTTGGCTATAGCAAGGTCAAGAACTAATTAAATAATTAGTTTGACATGTTTTTATACAGTTGTGTTCAAAATAATAGCAGTGTGTTGAAAAAAGTGAATAAATCTCAAAATCCTTCTAATAGCTTTTATTTCCATCCACACAAATGCATTGGGAACACGACACATTCTATTCCAAATCAAAACATGAAGAAAAATATATCACATTTGTGTTGTTCCTCTAAAAAAATTGACGAAAAGTGAATATTAGACTGTTCAAAAAAAATTGCAGTGTTTGTATTCTTCTTTACAAACTCAAACATTCACTATATAAACTGAGAAATGTTTGAAGATTTTGCTTTCCTTTGAATGACTTCATGAATATTTGGTTGTAGTCGCACTGTTTCTGAGAACTGCTGTACATCTGTGTTGCATGGAGTCACCCAACTTCTGGCACCTGTGAGCAGGTATTCCAGCCCAGGATGATTGGACCACATTCCACAGTTCTTCTCTATTTCTTGGTTTTGCCTCAGAAACTGCATTTTTGATGTCACCCCACAAGTTTTCTATTGGATTAAGATCCGGGGATTGGGCTGGCCACTCCATAATGTCCATCTTGTTGGTCTGGAACCAAGATGTTACACGTTTACTGGTGTGTTTGGGGTCGTTGTCTTGTTGGAACACCCATTTCAAGGGCATTTCCTCTTCAGCATAAGGCAGCATGACCTGTTCAAGTATTCTGATGTATTCAAACTGATCCATGATCCCTGGTATGCGATAAATAGGCCCAACACCATAGTATGAGAAACATC